GAGAGAGAGAGAGAGAGAGAAGAGAGAGAGAGAGAGTCAGACAGGCGGACAGACTGAGAGAGGGGGATGGAGGGACAGAAAAAGTGCGTATGTGAGCGTTTGTGTATTATCGAGTGTGTATGTTTGAGTGTGTGTTTTGGATATGTGTCGCTGTGAACGTTAACCCATAACTGTATGCGTTGTTAAGTACAAACTCGTCAGACAATAGCTGTAAAGACTGTTCACCTTTTTTACGTTCGAGTTTTCCTCCTGAGTCAGACTCCGAGAGAATAATTTTATCTGTGGGCCCCTCCACTTCTCGTGCAAGAAATTGTACAGTTTCAAAAGTTAGTGAAGAACAATTCTTTAGAGAAACAACAGGACGTTGTTAAGGTAAGTGGTATAATATAAGGTATATAATGTGCTCTCTCGCATTATTTTGTAAACGTCTGCACAGCGAATGATATGACTGTTTATTTATTCTGATATCCCTTTGTGTGATAGTATGCTTTTTATTTATGATAATGAAAACACCTTTGTCATAGTCCAAACGTGCTGGATTTGATTCCCGTAAATCCCATTTTTATTTAGTGAATTTGCGTGATCATTTTCCCCTACCTTTTCTCAATGCAGACGATTTTAACACCCAAGTGCTGCTACCAATACAAACAAATTGTGCATAAACGGACCGTAAAACACCGTTGAACGCAATGGGACCGAAAGCGAAAGTAATGTAACAATGAAAGTGCATGCCCCCTACCGCTTCAACGTTTGCACGGCTGGCCAATGATAATACCAGATACTACTACTGTAGTTTTCTTATAGTAGAGTCATCAGAGGCAAAGAGTCCCATCTGCTTATCACTCTTTGCGTAATATATCAATGACTGAGCGCAAGAAGTGACTATATTCACTTTTGGTCGAAATGGGGTTTTAGGCCGCTCTTTTGCCTCTGTAAATATCTAGGCCGTAGCTTAATTAGAAATTAACGGGAATTTTTGTCTATGTTACAGAAATTTCAATACCGTAAACATTTCAAACTCGTTTTTCTCGAAACTGAAAAGTGGATATAGATATCTAGATCTAGTCATTTCTTGTCCTCAGCCGTCGATATTTTATTCCCTGATAGATCTTTCTTTCATTTACATTTGCAAATTGGCAAAAGTGTTACAGTAATAGTATATTATGTATTCGAGGTCCATTCCAAGCCTAACAAAGTTCAAACGTGTAATCCTGTTTTGTTTTGGGGGGG